ATCCCTATTGTATTATTAGCTCCAATGATTCCAAACTTAAATATGAAGAACTGCATTGATCTTGGTATTACTTCATACAGTAGTACACCTACAAGTATGCCTGATTTAATGAATGCCTTATTACCGGCGCTCGAATCATATGCCTCAGTACCAAGCGATTTTGCAGGACAACAACCGTTGGAAATTTTAATGGCTGAGGACAATATTGTAAATCAAAGATTGGCTGTAAGGATATTAGAAAAATTCGGACATAAAGTTGAAATAGTGTCAAATGGTAAATTAGCTGTTGAACAATTCAAATGTAAACGTTACGATCTGGTAGGTTTATTTTTTTTTTTTTTTTTTTAGGAATTCGCAATATTCAATGTTACTAAAAAAAAAAAAAAAAAAAATAATGATTTAGATTTTGATGGATGTGCAAATGCCAATAATGGGTGGTTTTGAAGCCACACAAAAAATACGTGAATACGAACAAGATAAAGGAGGCCATGTGCCTATTATAGCATTAACAGCTCACGCAATGATAGGTGATCGGGAGAAATGCCTCTCGGCTGGAATGGACGAATACGTTACAAAACCATTAAGTTAGTAACTGTTTCTTTTTTTATTTTTAATCTAAATATATTTAGAATGCTAATTATATTTCCTTTTTACATAGGGATGAATGACTTAATTGCTACTATAAACAAATTTCCCGTAAAAAACCCAATTGAAGAAATACAAATTGCTGATCAACGCAATCTACCTCATGTGTAATTACTTAATCGTTCAATTGGACTCTAATTTTTTTTTTACTATTTTTATATATATTTAATTGATTTTTTATTTTAAATCAACGGATTTTGACGGACTTTTTTTTTCTTATTTTTTTAAACAAAAACTGTTTTACTCAAATATTGTTTCGTAAATTATTCGTTTATATATATATATACATCTATATACATCTATATATATATATAATTGTATATTAATGTTTATTTATAGTGCTTAAATTTTTAACTTACATCTTTGATTAAAACCATATGTATTTATGTATAAGTAAATGATTTTTTTAATAATGTACAATGTTTTTGACAAAGTTAAACTCTAAAAATACTATCTTGCCGGCAGGACCAGGACTTGAATAAATATTTTAAATTTATTTTAATGTATTTCTCTATATTTTTTTTCTCGTGATTATTGTGATAATTTTTTGTTGAACAGAACCCTGTTTTATTACGCCATCTCTGCATAAATGAGTGGAAGAAGATCACACCCTCATCTGCCGCTCTGCCGCATATAATTCCTGCATTATTCTTTGTTCATGCGTGTATTGTTACATAACAGTTCACATATATCTGTATATACAATATACATTGAGTCAACACAGTTGCATCTTGTTTTAACAATCAGGATTATGTGACCAAGGATTTCCGAACCTAGTCTCGGATTTATTAAGTTTCGACTCAGGATGATCATTTCGTCACTCGTCGGAAGTTACAGCAACGATTAAAAATTTAATTAATAAATTAAAATAATTTCTAAGAATAAATGAATTATCTAGAACATCCGTAGAAAATGATCTAATCAATAGTTTTTTTAAAATTTGTCGATTTTCTATAAAATCATGCATTAATTAAAAGCTGCAGGAACTATTATTGATTAATTTTTATCGCTACAAAATCATTTTTATATTAGAATACATAAAAAATATGTTTTGATACGCTGATTACACATTCTATCGATACTTCCTATGTAGAGGTCCAATCCGGATAAATCCGTCATCCATTTATCCATATCTGAATTTATCCGGATATCCATTTACTATTG